GAGTCACCACACCCGGCTAGGAGTAGCTATTCTTACATCAGACAAAACAAGCTTTTAAAGCAACAGCAGTTAAAAATGACAAAGAGAAACATTATATAATGATAAAATGATAAAAGGACTAGTCGAACAGGAAAATATTACAATCCTAAGTACATATGTACCTAACACTGAAGCTCCCAAATTTATAAAACGATTACTAATAGACCTAAGAAATGAGATAGATGGCAACACAATAATAGTAGAGGACTTTAATACTCTGCTGACAGCACTAGACAGGTCATAAAGACAGAAAGTCAACAAAGAAACAATGGACTTAAACTATACCCTACAACAAATGGACTTAACATATTTACAGAACATTCTTCCCAACAACTGCAGAATATACATTCTATTCATCAGTGCATGGAACATTCTTTAAGGGAGACCATATGATAGGCCACAAAACAAATCTCAGTAAATTTATGAAAATCAAAATTATATCAACTACTATCTCAGACTATAGTAGAATAAAGTGGGAAATCAACTCTAAAGAAATCCTCAAAACTATGCAAATACATGGAAGTAAAACGACCTGTTCCTGAATGACCATTGATGAACTCAAGATAGAAATTTAAAAATTCTTCGAACTGAATGATAATAATGACAAAATCTATCAAAATCTCTAGGATACAGCAAAAGCAGTGCTAAGAGGAAAGTTCACAGCCTGACATCGAAACGTCTGAAAGAGCACAGACAGACAATCTAAGGTCGCACTTTACAGAACTGGAAAAACAAAAACAAGAACCATTCAAACCCAAACCCAGCAAAAGAAAGGAAATAATGAAAATCAGAGCAGATCTAAATGAAATTGAAAGAAAAAAATACAAAAGATGACAAATGAAACAAAAAGCTGGTTCTCTGAAAATATAAATAAAATTGATAGATGATTAGCAAAATTAACCAAGAAAAGAAGAGGGAAGATCTAAATAAGCTCAATGAGAAACAAAACAGGAGATATCACAACTGAAATCACAGAAATACCAAAGATTAGCTACTATGAACACACTTACACACAAAAACTAGAAAACCTAGAGGAGATGAATAAATTCCTGGAAACATGCAACTCTTCTAGATGAAACCAGGAAGATATAGAAACTCTGAACAGACCAGTAACAAGCAGTGAAATTGAAATGGTAATTAAATAATTGCCAACAAAAAAGAGTTCAAGGTCAGACAGAATGACAGCTGAATTCTATCAGACATTCAATTCCAAGAAGAATTGGTATGAATCCTGTTGACAATATTCCAAAACACAGAGAAAGAGGGAATCCTCCCTAAATCATTCCATGAAGCCAGTGTCATCCTAATGCCCAAACCAGAGAAGGACATAACAAAACAAGAAAATGACAGACCAATATCCTTGGTGAACATACATGCAAAAATCCTCAAAAAAATAATAGCAAACTTAATCCAACAGCATATCAAAAAGATAATCTACCATGATTAAGTGCGTTTCATACCAGGGATGCAGGGATAGTTTAACATACAAAAGTCAATAAATGTGATACACCACATAAACAGAATTAAAACCAAAAAATTACATGATCATCTCAATAAATGCAGAAAAAGCATTTGACAAAATCCGGCATCCCTTTATGAATAAAACCATCAGCAAAATTGGCATGGAAGGGATATAAAGCCATCTATGACAAACCCACAGCCAACATTACTCTGAATGGGGAAAAATTGAAAGCATTCCTCCTAAGAACTGGAACAAGGATGCCCACTTTCACCACCACAAGGATGCCCACTTTTCACCACTTCAACACAGTACTGGGAGTCCTAGCCAGAGCAATCAGAAAAGAGAAAGAAATAAGGGATATTCAAATCAGTAAAGAGGCATTCAAGTTGTCGCTGTTTGCTGTTGATATGAATGTACACATAGAAAACCCTAAAAACTCCTCCCAAAATCTCCTAGAAGTGGTAAGTGAATTCTGTAAAGTTTCAGGATACAAAATTAATGTACACAAATCAGTAGCTCTGCTATACACCAACAGCGATTAAGCTGAGAATCAAACCAATAACTCAATCCCTTTTACAACAGCTGCAAAATAAAATAAAATAAAATAAAATATAAAACAAAATACATAGGAGTATACCTAACCAAGGAAATCCCCTACAAGTAAAACTACAAAACACTGCTGAAAGAAATAACACATGACACAATTAAATGGAAACACATCCCATGCTTATGGATGGGCAGAATCAATATTGTGAAAATTACCATACTGCTGAAAGAATCTACAAATTCAATGCAATTCCCATCAAAATACCACCATCATTCTTCACAGAACTAGAAAAAGCAATCCTAAAATTCACATGGAACCAAAAAAGAGTCCACATAGCTAAAGCAAGACTAGGCAAGAAGATTGAATCTGGAGGCATCACCTTACCCAATTTCAAGCTATACTATAAGGCGATAGTCACCAAAACAGCATGGTACTGGTATAAAAATAGGCACATAGACCAATGGAATAGAATAGAGAACCCAGAAATAAAGCCAAATACTTACAGCTAACTGATCTTCGATAAAGCAAACAAGAACATAAAATGGGGAAAGGACACCCTATTTAACAATTGGTGGTAGGACAATTGGCTAGCCACATGTAGGAGAATGAAACTGGATCCTCATCTCCCACCTTATTAAAAATTAACTCAAGATGAATCAAAAACTTAAAACTAAGACCTGAAACCGTAAAAATTTTAGAAAACAACATTGGAAAAACTCTTCTAGACACTGGCTTAGGCAAAGACTTCATGACCAAGAATCCAAAAGTATATACAACAAAAACAAAGATAGATAGATGGAAATTAATTAAACGAAAAAGCTTCTGCATAGCAACGGAAACAATTAGCAGAGTAAACAGACAACACACAGAGGCAGAGAAAAATCTTTGCAATCTAGACAAAGGACTAATACCCAGAATCTACAATGAACTCAAACAAATCAGCAAGAAAAAAAACCAAACAATTCCATGAAAAAGTGGGCTAAGGACATGAATAGACAATTCTCAAAAGTAGATATACAAATGGCCAACAAGCATGCGGAAAAATGCTCAATATCACTATTTACCAGGGAAATGCAAATCAAAACCACAATGTGACACCACATTACTCCCGCAAGAATGGCCATAGTCAAAAAATAATAGATGTTGGTGTCAATGTGGTGAAAAAGGAACACTTTTACACTGTTGGTGGGAATGTAAACTAGTACAGCCACTAAGAAAAGCAGTGTGGAGAATCCTTAAAGAACTAAAAGACATCTACTGTTTGATCCAGCAATCCCACTACTAGGTATCTATCTAGAGGAAAAGAAGTCATTACACAAACAAGATAGTTGCACATGCATGTTTACAGCAGCACAATTTGCAATTGCAAAAATATGGAACGAACCCAAATGCCCATCAATCAAGAAGTAGATAAAGATACTGTGAATACTACTCAGCCATAAAAAGGAATGCATTAATGGCGTTCACAGCAACCTGGATGAGATGGAAGTAAAGCAACTCTAAGCAATTCTAAGTGAAGTAACTCAGGAATGGAAAACCAAACATCATATGTTGTCATTGATACATGGGAGCTAAGCTATGAGGACACAAAGGCATCTGAATGATACTATGGACTTTGTTGGGGGAAGGGTGGGAGGGGGGCAAGGGCTACAAATAGGGTGCAGTGTGTACTGCTCAGGTGATGGGTGCACCAAAGTCTCACAAATCACCACTAAATAACTTACTCATGTGACCAAACACCACCTGTACCCCAATAACCTATTGAAAAAGAAAAAAATATATATAATAATAATTAACAAAAACTATCACAATATAAAAAATGAAAATCTAAAATCAATAATCTAAGTTTCCGCCTTAGGAATCTAGGAAAGATAAGCAAATTAAATGCAAATAAGAAGAAAATAATAATAAAAAGTGAAGCAGAAATCAAGGAAATTGAAAATAATAGATGAAATCACTAAAACCAAAAGCTGATTCTTTAAAAAGATCAATAAAATTGATAAACCACTAGCCAGACTAAATAAGAAATAAAAACAGAGAGAGAGAAGATACAATATTAATATCAGAAACAAATGAAGAGAGAATGCCAGCAAGATGGCTGACTAGAAGCCCCTAGTGCTCCTCTTCCCCACAAAGACCACAACAATGTATAAAGAACTACATTTTGATGAAAATAACTAAAGGAGAGTGCTGGAGTACATCAGAGCAGTAGCAAAAGTCCTGTAGAGCACAGAAACCAAGGATGGCCACATAGAGAAGGGAAAGAAACACCTCACGTTTGCTGCCACATTCTCTAGTCAGGATCAGCTTGAATAAAGGGGGACTTCTCCCACTGGGGAAGGGGTATGCAGGAGGACCGAAGAAGCCCTTAATACCACGTTGGACTCCTACAGTCCTCACAATGGGGATTCCTATATCCTCAGAGGTATTAAGCCCAGTTGAAGGAGCTGCCTGGAGTCCACACAGCTGTACTCTTCCCACTGAAAGAGCCTCATTGTGCCCTGTCCACTACGGCCCATGCTATTACCGCACTGTGCCATCCTGGAACTGGAACCCCTGCTGGAGTCTGGCCTGCTCTAGGAAGTGAGTGGCTCCACAGCACCCTTTCATCCCTGAGGCTTTATTGCCAATACACCACCCACATCTAGTGACCTACCATCACTGAGCCAAGCTGCTGCTACACCCTATTTTGTGGGGCCAGCTGACACGGAGCCACTCCGTATACCCCTACTAGTCACTACTGCACCTTGTCCCTCAGGACCTGAGTTGACTTAGTGTCCTGTCTCCCGGAAAAATGGTGCCTTGGCTATACAGAGCATTCATAATCCCTGGGGCTGTTGTTGTAGTGGTGTCCTGCCTCCATGGAAATGGTGCCTTGGCCATCCAAAGCAGTAATGGCCCCAGAGCCTGAACTGAAGAGGAACCCTACTTCATGGGGAATCGATGCCTTACCTGAGCTGAGCATCCAGGCCTCCCAGGGCTGAGCTGATGTGGCACCTCATGTCCTAGGGAAACAAAGCATTGGCTGAGGTGAGATCCTGGTATTCCAAACCAAACAACTGTAACACCCTGTTTCCTTAAAACCGAGCTAGCCCTCCAGAGTATGAGCCGCCAAAACACACTGTCTGGGGAGCGGAGTCATCACTGTACTTTCTGCCCTCTGAAGCTCCAGTCACAGCTGTGCTTCACCATTTCTGGGTCCTTCCTGCCACTACCTCCGGCCTCAGAGAGCTTGGGATACTGCTGTGCCCTACCACAGCCAGATTTAGAGTCACTACTTCATGGTGCTTCATCCTCCAGGGCGTAAGTTGCCACTGTGCCCTACTGGGCTCTGGGTCCCAAACTGCAGCTGTGCCCTGTACCTGAGGGCCCAAAACCCGTTCCCTAGGGCCAGCCCAGTGCTATGCTCTGTCTCCCAGGGTCAGAGTCACAACTAAAACCCATCCCTGTGGACCCAAGCTGTTGGGGTGTCCTTCAGGGTCACATGCTTTGGCTTTGTGGGCAATCTGCATCTACCTATGCCCCTGAAAGTGAACCTGTGCCCCAAGTCCCAGGGACCACAGAAGGCTTTCAAGACTCTAAGCCCAGGACCCTGGCTCCACACTACTCTGATCACTTGCACCCTGAAACCCAGTGTCACTGTGGCTGCTTATAAACCATATCAGACCCATTGCCAAGAGGAGTTTCCTGAGCTATGACTCTCCATTGTAAAGAAAATGAGAACAGGAAGACTCCCAAGTCCCTTGTCACTAAACAATATAACATCACGAGCTGCTGCTGCCACTGCCACAAACTCCTGTAGCTTAGGCCAATGAGGCACTCGCAGTCATTGATGTTGATCACAGCTGAAATGGTTGTAGGAAGGCTATTTCACTGGGTCCACTTGAATTCAGAGCCACCAAACCCTTTCCAACTGGTACTACCCTGACACATCTGCAAGTAAACTCTCTCTATAAAAGCCATTCTGTAAAGTTTGAATGAGGTCATTGTTCCATCAGGTGTTCAGACATTGATACAAGGACACAGAAGTAAGAACAAAACAAAATAATGAAACATGTTACCACGAAAGGAATACAATAGTTCTCCAGTAACTGGCCCTAAAGGCAAGATTTATGAAATGCTCAAAAAGAAATTCAAAATAATGATCTTAAGGAAACTCAGTGAGATATAATAGAACACAGATAGACAATTCAACAAAATCAAGAAAACAATTCATGATCTGAATGAGAAATTCAACAAGGAGATAAATATAAAAAAGAACTAAATAGAAATCCTGACACTGAATAATCAGATGCATAAAACAAAAAATACAACAGAGAGCTTCAACAGCAGACTAGATCAAGCAGAAGAATCTGTTAAATTGAAGACAGATCTTTTGAATCTACTCCTTCAGAGGTAAAAAAGAAAAAAAAAAACAGAGAGAGAGAAAGAAAAAGAAAAAAAAACTAATAAGAGTGAAGAAGGCCTGTGGGACTCAAGGGAAACCATTAAGCAAACAAACAATCACACTATGAGAGTTTCAGAAGAAGAAAAGATACAGTAAAGGACATGAAGCTTATTTAATGAAATAATCACTGAAAACTTCCCAAGTCTTGGGAAAGATATGGACATCCAGATCCACGAAGCTAAAGGTTCCTACACAGGTTTAACCCAGAAAGGCACTCATTGAGGCATATTGTAGTCAAACTATCAAAAGTCAGAGACAAATAGGGAATTGTAAAAGCAGCAAGAGAAAAGCAATATGCCACATATAAAGGAATTATTGTTAGACTGTCCATGGACTTAACAGAAACTTTGCAGCTCAAGAAAGAATGAGATGATATATTCAAAGTGCTGAAATAAGAAAACTGTCAGCCAATAATATAATACCCAATGAAAGTGTCCTTCAGAAATGAAGGAGAAACAAAGTCTTTACCAGACAAGCAAAAGATGGGGGGATTCATCACCACTAGACCTGCCTTACAAGAAATGCTTAAGAAGGTTCTTCAAGTGGGAAAAAAAGGATACTAATTACTAACAAGAAAACGTAAGAAGGTAAAAAAATATACCAGTAAAGGTAAATATATAGTGAAATTCAGAATACTCCAATACCATAATGGTGGCTTATTAATCATTCATATGTCTAGAATGAAAGATAAAAGTCAAAATGGACAAAAATAACCATAAGTACAATAAGTTAAGGTAAATACAATGTTAAAGAGATGTAAATTATACATGGAAACTATAAATTGTGAGGTGCAGGGTAAAAGTCTAGTGTTTTTGTATGCAACTGAAGTTGTTATCAGTATTAAATAATCTATTATAAGGTGTTGTATGTAAGCCTCATGGTAACCACAAAATGAAACACTATAGCAGATACATAAATGATAAAGAGAAAGGAATAAAAACTTAGCACTACAGAGAATAACCAAATCACAGAGGTAGACAACAAGTGAAAAGAAACAAAGGATGTACAAAACAACTAGAAAACAATTTATAAAATTGCAATAGTAAATCCTTACCTATCAATAATTACTTTGAATGCAAGTGAATTAAATTATCCAATGAAAAGACACAGAGTGGCTGAATAGATAAAAATAAGATCCAACTATATGCTGGCTACAAGAGACTCTATTAGCTTTAAGGACACATAAGTTGAAAGTGAAGAGATGGAAGAAGACATTCCATGCAAATGGTAACCAAAACAGAGCAGGAGTAGCTATACTTACATCAGATAAAATAGACCTCAAGTCAAAAACTCTCATGAAAGACAAAGAAGGTCATTATTTAACAATAAAGAACTCAATTCATCAAGGGGACATAACAATTTTAATTATATATGCAACCAATATCAGAGTACCTATATGTATAAAGCAAATACTAGTGGACAAGAAGAGAGAAATAGCAAAACAATAATAGTAGGGGACTTCAGTAACCCACTTTCAACAATGGGCAGACCAACCAGACACAATATTACTAAGGAGATGTGTCCGGAGTTGGTTCCTGCTGGTGGGTTCATGGTCTTGCTGACTTCAAGAATGGAGCCACGGATGCTCGTGGTGTTACAGCTCTTAAAGATAGCACGGACCCAAAGAGTAAGCAGTAGCAAGGTTTATTGTGAAAAGCAAAAAGACAAAGCTTCCACAGCATGGAAGGGGACCTGAGTAGGTTGAAACTGCTGGCTGCGCTGGCCAGCTTTTATTCCCTTATTGTCCCTCCCCATGTTCCATTTCTGTCCTATCGGATTGCCCTTTTTTCTATCCTCCCTGTGATTGGCTACTTTTAGAATCCTGCTGATTGGTGCGTTTTACAGAGCGCTGATTGGTGCATTTTACAGAGTGCTGATTGGTGCATTTTACAATCCTCTTGTAAGGCAGGAAAGTTCCCGAAGTCTCCACTCAACCCACGAAGTCCAGCTGGCCTCACCTCTCAATCCCCCCTCTAAACAGGACACCGCAACTGCTGTTGGGAACTGGGCAATGACCGCTCTAGCTACTTCCTGCTGGATGGGGCAAAGAAGGGGCCCTGCAGTTGTAGCATCCCCCAGAGGGGAACTCTCTAGGCCAAAGGGCCAGTGGGTTGGTCCAGGGGTCCTCAGTAGAAGTTGTGAGTTGAGCTCATTTGGGGATCCATTTGTAAGACCATCTGTAGCTTTACGGCCTGGATACTGGAAGAGACAAATTTGACAAGGAGGTTAAAAATATAGGTCCCAAAGGCGAGTAATAGCAAGATATCTGTCATGGGACCTAAAAAGGGGAGAAGCCATGTCGCCCAACTCCAGAGGTTGGTATAAGAGTTTGAAAGCCTTTGTCTGATTTCAGAAGCCTTTTCCTGTAAACACTGGGTGGCGTCACATACTATCCCTGACTGGTTAGTGTAAAAACAACACTCTTCCCCTAAGAAGGTGCAAAGTCCTCCTTTCTCAGCAGTGAGGAGGTCTAGGCCTCAGTGGTTTTGGAGAGTCACTGCTGCCGAAGCATCTATTTGGGATTATAGAGTAAGTATAGATTTTGTTATGTCTTGCAAACTGTCTGAGGAATCCTTTGAGAGTGTATGGTAGTAGGATAATGAAGTAGATAAAGAAGTAGGTAAATCTGATAGGACGGAAATGGAACATGGGAGGGGACAATAAGGGAATAAAAGCTGGCCACCCTAGCCAGCAGTATATCCAGAAGTAGGATAATGAAGTGGCTATTCTGGTTGCTGTAGCAGTGGCCATTGCTAACCCTAAAAGTAGGGGTGTTAGTTGTACAGCTCTGCCCCGAGGGACTTGAGCTTTGAGGGGGCACTGATAGGGTCTCATTTCCTGGGGCAACGTCAATGTAGGGACTTAGGAAGACTAAGGTGCAGGTGCCTGTCCAGTTAATGGGGAGGCAGATATAGGTTGAAGTTTCACATAAGAAGAATATGCCTTGGCTGGGTAGACAGAACTGGTTGTGTATGTTAAAAAGGTGTGTGAGTTTGTTTTTTTCATTTTCCCATACTCCTAGAGTACTTGCCAAGGTAGCTCCAGTGAGCAGCTGGAAAGGGGTGTTGGGAGCAAATGAGTGGCTCCCTGTGTTCTATTTTCCCACTGGAGAAAAAAAAAAAAAACATTTTATGTCTACTGGGAACCATTCAAGAGAGTAATTGAAAGAGGGGATGAGAAGGCATTCATTAATGGTGGGGGCGCTGCTGCAGGGGGTCCAGGGGTGAATGATCATGCAGGAAGTATGTTTGCCATTACAAAACCCAGACTATTTGTTAAGCAGGGAGGAGGTGAAGATTTTGGGGGGCCCTGAGAAGCGGACAAGCCATCTGAATGGAGCTGTTTGGGTGACTTGGAAGTTACTATGATCATTTGGGGCTTGAAGTTGTAGGGTGTAATTACACTGATAGGATAGTAGGTGCCCCAGGGGCAGGCCTGATAACAGGTTGCATTGGATGCATAAAGAGGCTTAGAAAGTTAAGATGGTATTCGTAGTTACAGGGCCGTGTATGGGCTTTTCATTGCTCATGTAATAGGTGAGGTTGGAAATGTGAGAGCGTAAAAGCTGGATTGTGCATCCTGTTAGGGTATTTTTGGTCCTATCAGAGATGGAGAAGTTGGCTAATGATTGCATATTTAGAAGTTGGAAAGGGTCTTTTCCTTCATAACGGGGGTGGTAGGTTAAGTTAGTAAAGACCCAGTTTTTGCAGGAATGGGAGTGACAACGTAAGCAGTGGCTGATAGAGGGATATAAAGCCGACAGTCATTTGCCAGGGAAGGATTGGACTGGTTTAACAGAGAGTGGGTTGAGAGTCTTGTAGAGGTAATTAGGAGCTAGAGAAGGGGAGGGGCGACTATGTGGGGTAGCCCAGGAAGCAGGAGGGATAGATAGGCAAAGAGTAAGTAGGAAGGAAAAGAGGGTGCCCTGGAAGATAAGATCGTTTTATCCAGTCTGAGTTGAAGGTGGGAGTAATTGCTGTCAGAAGGAAGGATGATAGATAAAAGGTTGATGTGATTAGGATTTTCATCCCAGCAGGAGCTACAGTATATAGTCCTACTGCAAAGAGTATGGTTAATATACTGCTTAATAATGTGATGAAAGAGTAAAAGGATTCCATTAAAGGGGCAAAAAGAGGTGTTAAAGATTATGTAGGGTTTCACTTATCTTTTTTAAGTAGGAAGGGGTTTTTCCTCAGGATCAGCTGTAGGAGCCTTTTTAGTCTGGGATGTTTCCTTCTGAAATAGGAGATGCAAGTCCTCCAATGGTTCACAGGTGTATCGAGGCTGGTCTGGCTGATCTTGGGACTCCTGAGCTGACAGTCCCGCAGGTTCTTCAGGGGGTGTCCAAAGTTTAACTTGGGCGTGATGAGTCCAAGATTCCACTCCTGCTGTCTAAACTACAGTGGAGGTAGAGAGGATTAGAGTATGGTCCTTCCCACAGGGAATCCATAGAGGGGAGGGACTTGACCAACAATAGATCTCCCGGTTGGAACAACTCTGTTTCCTTGTCTCTGTAACATCTTTCGGGTAGATTTTTAAGGTTTTGTTGATATTTTGCCAAGGAAGTTATATCCTTGGCCAAGTTGGCTGTTTCCTGATCAAGTAAGAGGTCATTTGTGAGAAAAGGTCGTCCATACAGCATTTCATATGGACTGAGCCCCATTTTGTGAGGAAAATTTCGGATTCTCAACAAGGCCATGGGCAAGAGGGTAGGCCATGGGAGATGAGTTTCTTGTATTAGTTTTCTTAAGTGCCTCTTGAGTGTTTCATTTGCCTTCTCGACCTTCCCTGAGGATTGTGGCCTCCAGGAGCAGTGAAGGTCATATTGTATCCCTAGCGCCCTGGAAATTCCCTGAGTTACTGCCTTTAAAAGCCAGACCATTTTCCCTTTGTAAGCTTTCGGGAAGCCCAAATCTAGGAATTATTTCATGAATTAGGACTTCAACCACTTCCTGAGCCTTCTCTATCTTGCAGGGGAAAGCTTCTATCCAATTTGTAAAGGTATCAACACAGACCAACAAGTATTGAAATCCCCTTGACTTAGGCATATGGTGACGTCTAATTGCCAGTCCTCTCCAGGATAGTGCCCTATTCTTTTTTTCCCCCAGAGGGGCCTTACAATGGACCAGGGGATTATTCCTTTGGCACACCTCACAGGCTTTGACTACTTGTTGGATGGTCCGGAGGAGATTTGGCCCTGTAAATAGGGATTTGGCCATTTGATGATTGTTCTCAATACCCATATGAAAGTTTGGTGGAGGTTCTTAAGCATTTTCCACTGGCTGGCTTCGGGTATCAGTACCATTCCCTCTTCTGTCGTTAACCACCCCAAGGGGAGAAAACTGTGCCCCCACGAAAGTCCCCATTCTGTTTTGATTGAGGAATACTGGGGCTTAATCTCTTGGAGACAGTTGTTCCATACCAAAGGTCCTTCTGTAGGTATTTCTAATGGGAGGTTCCACCTTGCAGCAATTTTGGCCTCAGCATCTGCCCAAAGGTTTCCTTCTGCCTTTTCTCCTTCACCTTTTTGATGGCTTTGGCAGTGTAAGACTGCCACCTCCTTGGGTTTTTGCACTGTGTGCAATAACTCCATGATTTCTTTGTGGTATTTAATGGGGGTTCCCCCAGAGGTTAGGAACTCCCTTTCTTTCCATATTACTGCATGGGCATGCAGGATTAGATAAGCATACTTGCTGTCTGTATACACATTTATTCTTTTTTCCTTTCCCAGTTCTAAGGCTCAGGTAAGCAGCAGTAGTTCTGCTAACTGGGTGCTAGTTCCTGGGGGAAGAGGCTTCTTTCAAGTCCGGTTACATCACTAACTATGGCATAACCTGCCCTTCACACCCATTCTCCACAAATGAACTTCCATCGGTATATATAGATTAAGGTCAGGATTAGTTAAGGGGACTTCAAAGAGATCCTCTCAGGTGGCATAAGTCTGAGCTACAATTTGTTGGCAGTCACGCTCGATTGGTTCCCCATCCTCTGGGAGAAAAGTAGCAGGGCTGAGGGATGCACACATGCATATTTGAAGCATCGGTCCCTCAAGGAGTAGTGCCTGGTATCTAAGCAGGCAGTTGTCTGATAGCTATAAATTTCCTTTGGCACCTAGTATGCCATTTACATCATGAGTAGTCCAGATGAGTAATACAATTCTTTCCTTGTATTATTTTGATAGCCTCTGATACTAAGATGGCCACTGCCACAACTACCCATAAACAGTGAGGCCAGCCTTTTGCTACTACATCAGTTTCCTTACTTAGGTATGCCACTGGTTGTGGGGTTGTCCCACGAGTCTGAGTAAGGACTCCAAGAGCTATTCCTGTTCTCTCTGTGATGTATAAAGAGAAGTTTTGTCCTGTGGGAAGGCTTAAGGCTGGAGCTTGTATTAGGGCCTGCTTTAAGGTTTTGAAAGATGTTTCTCCCTCTGGTTCCCATTCTACTAGATGAGTATTTGCCCTCTGGGTCTCCTTGATTAGAGTATAGAGGGACCTGGCCCATCTCACTATATCCGGGGATCCATAGTCAGCAAAAACTGGTGATCCCAAGGAACCCCCACAACTGTTTTCATGTCTTAGGGCGAGAATAAGCCAGCACAGGCTGTATTCGTTCTTTGCTGAGGGCCCTGGTTCCTCTGGCTAAGATTAGGCCTAGATATTTGGCTTGTAGGCAGAGCAGGGCCTTCGATTTAGACACCTTGTACCCTTGATTAGCTAGAAAATTCAAGAGATTTAGAGTAGCCTGCTGGCATGAAGCTTCCGAACTGGTAGCCAAAAGTAAATCGTCCACATATGGAAGCGCCAGAGTGTCTGGACCTGAGAGGTGGCCTAGATCTTGGGCCAGTGCCTGACCAAACAGATGAGAGCTATCCCTAAACCCCTGGGGCAAGACCATCCATGTAAGTTGGGATATGTGGTCTGTGAGATCCTCAAAGGCAAAGAGAAACTGGGAGTCAGAGTGCAGGGGAATACAGAAGACGGCATCCTTGAGGTCCAGAACCGTGAACCATTCTGCTTCCTCTGGTATTCGAGAGAGCAGGGTATAGGGGTTGGGTACAGCTGCATATAGAGGATTTACTGCCTCATTGGTGAGCCTAAGATCTTGCACTAGTCCCCACTGACCATTTGGTTTTTGTACCCTAGAATTGGGGTGTGGCAGGGACTGCTACATTTTCTTACTAAGCCTTACAACTTTTAAATGTCTAACAATATCCCATAATCCTTTATGAGCTTCAGGCCTTAAGGGATATTGCCTTTGATAAGGAAAAGTGGTGAGGTCTTTTAGCCTGATTTGGACTGGGCAGGCAGTTTTTGCCCTTCTGAATTGTCCTTCTAATGCCCAGACTTCAAGGTTGATTCCCTCCTCAAGTAAGTGACAACAAATGGTTAACTTGTTCCCCATATTCATATAGATAATAGCTCCAGCTTTGGTAAATACATCCCTCCCTAATAAGGGTTTGGGACTTTCAGGCATAACAAGAAGGGCATGTGAAAAGAGCAAAGTCTCCCAATTACAACTGAGGAGGTGAGAGAAATACCTGGTTACAGGCAGTCCCAGTATTCCTCGGATGGTAACAGACCTTGGGGACAGCCATCCAGTGCAGGAGATTGACACTGAGAAAGCCATGCCAGTGTTCGGGAATAAGTCAATTTCCTGGCCCTCAATGGTTAAACTTACCTGGGGCTCAGTGAGGGTGATGACATGAGCTGGCGCTTGCCCGGGGCACCTACAGTCCTGTTGTTGGATCATCTGGTTGTGGGCTTCTGGCCCAGAGAACCTTTGTCCTCTGGGGCAGTGTGCTTTCCAGTGATTGCCTTAGCATAGTGGACATGGGTGAAGGGGAGACTTGTTTCTCATTGGACAATCTTTTTTAAAGTGTTCTTGCAAACCACACTGATAACAAGCCCTACCGGGTGATTGGCCTGATCCATTTTCTGTCCTCTCTGAACCACCAAGGTTTGTTTGTCTGAGGGCCATGACTAAGGCTGCAGCCTTTCTCTTATCTCACTTTTCCTTCTTGGCCTGTTCCTCTTGTTCCCTATTATAGAACACCAAGGTTGCCAGGTTTAATAATGCTTCCAAATTTTGTTCAGGGCCCAGGGCTAGCTTTTGAAGCTTTCTCCTGATATCTGTGGCTGATTGGGTAATAAACTTATCTTTTAGGATCAACTGACCCTTGAGGGAGTCTGGTGACAGGGGAGTATATTTTCTTAATGCCTCCTGTAGCTACTCAAGGAAGGTGGTAGGATTTTCTTCCTTTCCCTGAGTATGGGAGACATCATTGAATAATTCACGGGCTTTTTCCTAATTCTCCTTAGTCCTTCTAGAACACAGGTCAGCAAAGTTTACAACTCCAGTCCCCATGATCTGAGTCTAGGTCCCAGTGGGGATCCATACTGGGGACAGCCTGCTGACTGGTAGGGAATTTGTCCCTTTCTTTGGCTGTCATTCTACCATTTACTTGACTAAGATACCAGGTATCTCCAAACTCTCAGGCTACAGCTAAAGCCGCATTCTTTTCATTAAAGGCCACGATTTGATCCAACAATAAGCATGACATCTCTCCAAGTGAGGTCGAAGGTTTGCCCTAGACCCTGTAAGACACCTATATACCTATCAGGATCATCTGAAAACTTCCCCAGGTCTACCTTGGCACACTTTAAATCAGTGAGGGAGAAGGGGACATGTACCTGGGTTGGGCCAAATTCCCCTCCCCCTACAGCTTGAAGGGAACATAACCGATAGCCTGGGGGGTTTTGTGGTCCCTTGAAGATTTCTCTGCTTGTTTCCTTCTGGGTGGGGGAGATTAGAGGAGGCTCATGATTAATTTATAAAAGGGAGCTTTAGGGAGGCTAGGATACGGGGGTAAGCTGAGAGGTCCTCCTGTGGAATGTGGATTGCAAGATTTGCATAGTTGTGGATTATCCTTCAATGAAAAGAAAGGTTGGACATAAGGTATTTCCTCCGTTTGCCTCCCCTCCTACAGAAAAGTTCAAGCTGCAGGATATTATTGTAATTATACTTCCCTCAGGTGGCCATTTTTCCCCATCAGAGAGAGAATATTGGGGGCCAGGCTGTAATGCAGAAAAAAATAAGCTGTTTCTTTCTCAGGGTTTGTGGTCAAATTGCTCCCAATGGCTTAGGATGCATTTCAAGGGTGAGCTTATTGATGCCTGAGTGTTTCCCATCTAAAACAGAAAAAAAACTGCCCCAGGTTTTGGTCTGTTTATCAGGGCCCACCACTCCACCTCTGCCCAAGAACCCACCAGGGTCCCTGACCCTGCTGTTCGGAATAGTTGTGCTTTACCAAAGCAGCCGCGGAAATGCTTGTTTTCCTCCTAGACCACGAAGAGGACTGAGGAGGGTCGGATTTAGTGGCCCTTACTAACGCATTCTCGAAAACCTGCACCCTTGCCTTTCCTCTTAGACCACAAAGAGGACTGAGAAAGGTCAGATTTAGTGGCCCTTACCAACACATTCTTGAAAACCTGTTAGAGTCCTAATTGTTTGATCCTGTTGGTATTGGGAGCTTACTTTTGTCATATAAAGATCATATGCCTCAAAACGGAGTGAAGGAAGGGAAGGGATCTCCAGGGTTGGGACAGTGATGCCTTTTGTCCTCGCTTCTCATATGAATAGGAAGGGCATCCTCCCTAATTTTGGAGTCTATAATTTCTGAGGCTCCCCATATCCTAGCTTTGGGAATAGCCTTCATTAGGCCTACTAGTCTGAGGAAGGATCCTAAAATTCCAGATAGTCCACCCCACCGACGGGGCTTTGGGCAAAAGTTATGTTCCCCAGGGCACCTATTTCCCATTGAAGAATTTGGCTCTTTCTGGTCGGTGAGCCCAGGTGCCTAAAGAAGGGAACAGAGTCGGAAATTTATATTACAGATCATCCTTATAAGAGAAACTAGAAGAGCACCAGGGACACGAAGTGGTTTTTAGAAGCAGGATTAGCCTCAGAGAAGAGAGGCAGGAGGTAATTTGTCTGACAGGCATTAGGACCCAGGAGACAAGGGTCAGGATAGATAGGATAGATGGGAGAGTCTGGCTTGAGAGACATAACTTTGAGAGCTCCACTCAAGTCTGCAGGGTCATCCAACGTTTTGTCAGGACCCTGGAGCTGAATGGCTTTCCTCTCTGTTGACCCTTGGCTCAGCCCAGAAGTGCAGGAAAAGCGAAAGCTGGTTCCAGGCAAACCAACGCTCCCAACTCCGAAAAGTTTGGGGGTTGTTAGAGAGCCCTTTCCCAGAAAGGCTGACACCTGTGTCTTTAGTCCGGCAGTCACTTTTAACTGGCTGACAGGTGCCTGGTGTTTAGCCCCCGAATTCTAAGGAAAAATAGGACAGAAAAGCAAGTGAAAGGGGTCCAGTGGTACTCACCGCGTGGCAATATCCTCGACGAGTCCCGAAGATGTGTCCAGAGTTGGTTCCTGCTGGTGGGTTCATGGTCTCGCTGACTTCAAGAATGGAGCCGTGGAACTTCGCAGTGAGTGTTACAGCTCTTAAAGGTGGAACGGACCCAAAGAATGAGCAGTAGCAAGGTTTATCGTGAAGAGCGAAAAGACACAGCTTCCACAGTGTGGAAGGGTACCCAAGCGGGTTGCCGCTGCTGCTGAAGTGGCCAGCTCTTATTTCCTTATTGTCCTCTTCCGTGTTCCACTTCTGTCCTATCAGAGTGCCCTTTTTTCAATCTTCCCCATGATTGGCTACTTTTAGAATCCTGCTGATTGGTGCGTTTTATAGAGTGCTGATTGGTGTGTTATACAGAACGCTGATTGGTGTGGTTTACAATCCTCTTGTAAGACAGGAAAATTCCCCAAGTCCCTACTCAACCCAGGAAGTCCAGTTGGCCTCACCTCTCAGAAATACTGAAATTGAACTACACTTTATACAAAATGGACCTAACATTATATATATATATAATTTTTTATCCAACTGCAGCAGAATATACATTCTTCTATTAGTGCATAAGAAATATCTCCAGGATAGACCATACATTAGGCCACAAACAAGTCTTAACAAATTTAAGAAGATAAAAATGATATCAAGTATTGTGTCTGACCACAATGGTATAAAACTAAAAATTAAAACAAGAGGAATTTTGGAAAAGTCATAAATATGTAGAAATTAAACAACATGCTCCTGAACAATCAAAGTGTCAAAAAAGAAATCAAAATGGAAATGTAAAAATATCTTGACACAGGCCAGGTGCTATGGCTCATGCTTGTAATCCCACCACTTTGGGAGGCTGAGGCAGGAGGAACACTTGAGGTCAGGAGTTTGAGACCAGCCTGTCCAATATGGCGAAACCTCGTCTCTACTAAAAATACAAAAATTAGCTGGGCATCCTGGCGCATGCCTGTAATCCCAACTACTCAGGAGACTGAGCAGGAGAATCGCTTGAACCTGGGAGGCAGAGTTTGCAGTGAGCCAAGATCGCACCACTGCACTCCAGCCTAAGCAACAGAGTGAGACTCTGTCTCAATTTTAAAAAAATCTTGACACAATGATAGAAACACAACATACCAAAACCTACAGGATTCAGCAAAAGCAGTTTTAAGAAGGAAGTTTATAACAATAAGTGCTTACATTAAAAAAGAAGAAAGATCCCAAACAGTGTAACATTATGTCTCAAGGAACTAGAAAAAGAACTAATCCCAAAGTTAGCAGAAGAAAGGAAATAAGATCAGAACAAAAATAAATCAAATAGACTACAGAAAAATCATGGAAAAAAGTCAATAAAACAGTTGTTTTTTAAAAATAAATAAATAAATTAAATCAACAAACCTTTAGCTACACTGAGGGAAAAAAGAGAGAAGACTCAAATATGTAAAATCAAATATGAAAATGGAGACATTACAATAGATGTCTGAGGAGTAAGAAGGATCACCAGGCACAGTGGCTCCCGCCTGTAATCCCAGCACTTTGGGAGGCCGAGGCAGGCAGATTACTTGAGCTCAGGTGTCAAGACCCAGCCTAGGTCACATGGTGAAACCCTATCACTACAATAAATACAAAAATAAGCTAGGTGTGGTGGCACATGCCTGTAGTCCCAGGTACTCAGGAGGCTGAGGCAGCAGGATCACTTAAGCTGGGAGGTCAAGGCTGCAGTGAGCTGTCATCACGCCACTGCACTTTAGCCTGGGTGACAGAGCAAGACCCTGTCTCAAAAATAAAAATAAAAAAGAAAGAAAAGAAAAGAAATAAAAAGCATCATAAAGGATTGCTGTGAACAATTATATGCCAGTAAATTTGATAATCTAGAGGAAACTAATAAATTCCTAGAAAAAGACAACTTACCAAGGTTGAATCAGAAGAAATAGAAAGCCTGAAAAGAAAATACCAAACAAGAATGAGGTAATAATTTAAGGTCTCCCAAAAAAGAAAAGCCTGGGACCAGATAGCTTCACAGCTGAATTCTACCAAACCTTCAAAAAAGAATTAATGACAATACTTCTTGGCCGGGCACAGTGGCTCACACCTGTAATCCCAACACTTTGAGAAGCCAAGGTGGGTGGATCATTTGAGGTCAGGAGTTCGAGACCAATCTGGCCAACATGGTGAATCCTCGTCTCTACTAAAAATACAAAAATTAGCCGGGTGTGGTGGTGCACACCTGTAATCCCAGCTACTCGAGAGGCTGAGGCAAGAGAATCACTTGATCCCAGGAGGCTGAGGTTGCAGTGAGCCAAGATCTTGCCACTGCACTCCAGTCTGGGTGACAGAGTGAGATTCCATCTCAAAACAAAACAAAACAAAACAAAAACAAAAATAAACAAAAAACTTCTTAAATTTTTCAAAAAAATAAAGCTAGAGGGAATACGTCCTAAAACATTTTACAAAGCCAGCATCACTTTGATACCTAAGCCAGACAAAGACACCACAAGGAAAGGAGACTATAAGTCAACGTCTCTGATGGGCTTTGATACAAAAATCCTCAATAAAATATTAGCCAACCAAGTTCAACGACACATCAGAAAGATCATATACTATGACCAAGTGTGATTCACCCCTGGCATTCAAAACTGGTTTGCACACGCAAATCAATGTGATGCACCACATGAACATACCGAAAGGCAAAAACTATGTGATTATCTCAATCAACACAGAAAAAGCATTTGACAAAGTTCAACAACCATTCTCAATAAAAACTCTCAGCAGTTTAGGTAAAGAGGGAAAGTTCAACATAAGCCATTTATTAAAAAACCAACTGCTAACATCACAATCAATGGGGAGAAACTGAAAGTTTTTCATTTACGATCTGGTACAAGGCAAGGATACTCACTCTACTCACTTCTATTCAATAGAGTACTAGAAATACTATCAAGAGTAATCATATAAGAAAAAGAAATAAAATACATCCAAATCACATTGAAGTAAAATTATCTATTTGCAAATGACATGATCATATATGTGGAAAACCCCAAAGACTCCTTCGAAAAAACCTGTTAAAACTAATAAATGAATTCAGTAAAGTTGCAGGATACAAAACTAACATACAAAACCTAGAGAGTGACCTAGCTGAAAAATAAATCAAGAAAACAATCCCATTTACGATAGCATAAAAAATACCTAGGAATAAATTTAACATGGAGGTGAAAGATCAATACACTGAAAATTATAAAACATTGATGAAAGAAACTGAAGAAGACACAAATAAATGGAAAGCTATCCCATGCTCATTGATAGAGAGAATCAATATTGTTAAAATGTCCATACAACATTGCAAAGATTTAGTACAATCCCTATTCAAAATCCCAATGGCATTCTTCACAGAGATAGACAAAACAATTCTAAAATTCAAATGGCACCACAAAAGACCCCAAATAGCAAGGCAATTTGGTGAAAGAACAGAAAAACAGATCAATGGAACAGAATAGAAAGCTCTGAAATAGGCCTACGCGAATAGGGTCAACTGATCTTTGACAAAGAAACAAAGGCAATTCAATGGAGAAAGGATAGTTTTTCCAACAAATGGTGCTGGCCCAACCAAACATCCCCATGCCTAAAAACAACAACAACAATAAAACCAACAACAACAAAACACAGAAAAGGAAAAAACGAATCTAGACAGACATCTTTCAGAAAAATTAATTCAAAATGGATCTCAGACCTAAATAAAAAATGCAAAACTATAAAACTCCTAAAATGTAACATAGGAAATAATATATATGACCTTATGTTTGGCAATGACTTCTTAGTACAACACCAGAAAGAAAGAAATTGATAAGCTTGACTGCATTAAAATTTCTCCTTTGTGAAAGACACCATTAAGAGAATGAACAGACACACCACAGAGTGGGAGAAAAATATTTGCAAATGACACAGCACCAAAGAAAATATACAGATGACAGATAACCATATTAAAAAGTGCCCAACATCATATGGCATTAGGGAACTGCAAATTAAAACGATGAGATACCACTACACACCTAGTTAGAACGGCTAAAATATAAAACTGGTATGGGGTAGGGTTACATGGGAATTCTGTGTACTTTCTACTCAATATTTCTGTAAACCTAAAATTGCCCTAAAAAAATAAAGTTTATTAATAAAAAAACAAGATGACCATCAAGACTAGAATGGACAATTTGCAGTATGTTCCTATCATTAAATACTACGCAATAATTAAATGAACAGACTCAGATGTTAAATGTGATCCCCTCGGTGGTAACCACCCCTCCACCCTGCAAAAAAGATAACTATATATACCAACAAAAAAGAGAAGGAAATTAAAATTTTCACCACAAAAAAAGTCAGCTAAATACAAAAGAAGACAGGAATGCGGGAAATGTGGGACACAATGCTCTCAGGCATATATTAAAAGTAATAGCAAAAGGCTGGGCACAGTGCTCACGCCTGCAGTCCCAGCACTTTGGGAGGTTGAGGAGGGTGGATCACCTGAGGTCAGAGGTTCAAGACCAGGCTGGCCACCATGGGAAAACCCCATCTCTACTAAAAATACAAAAACTAGCCTGGCTGCTGGACACAGTGGCTCACGCCTGTAATCCTAAAGCTTTGGGAGGCCGTGGCAGGTGGATCACTGGGTCAAGAGATAGAGACCATCCTTGCCAACATGGTGAAACCCCGTCTCTACTGAAAATACAAAAATTAGCTGGGCGTAGTGGCGCACACCTGTAGTCCCAGCTACTTGGGAGGCTGAGGCAGGAGAATCCCTTGAACCCAGGAGGCGGAGGTTGCAGTAAGCCAAGATTGTGCCACTGCACTCCAGCCTGGTGACAAAGCGAGACTCCATCTAAAAAAAAAAAAAAAAAAAAAAAACCAAAAATCCAAACAAACAAACAAACAAACAAATACTAGCCGGGGTTGATGGCAGGCACCTGTAATCCTAGCTAGTCAGGAGGCTGAGGCAGGAGATCACTTAAACCCAGGAGGGGAGGTTGCAGTGAGCTGAGATCGCAGAGGGAGACTCCATCTCAAAAAAATAAAATAAAATAAATAAAATAAAAATAAAAGTAATGGCAAAACTGCAATTACTTTTGCACCAACATAATAGAAAACAAATAGCAAAACGACAGAAGTCCCTCCAACCAAATAGGTTGAAAGTGAAAAGATAGAAAATGGTATTCCATGCAAATAGGAAAAAAAAAAAAAAGAAATCATGAAAAGCTATACTATATCAGACAAAATAGACTTTAAATTTTAAAAATTAAAAAAAGAAGCATATTATCTAACAAAAGTTTCAATATAGGAAGAAGAAATAACAATTATAAACATTTACATACCTGATTATATACCACCAAAATATAGGAAATAAAAATTGACAGACTGAAGGGAGAAGCAGTTTTACAATTGCAGACTTCACTATCCCACCCAATAACAGACAGAATAATCAGGCAGAAATAAGTAAGGAAATAGAAGACATGAAACACCGTAAACCAACCAGACCTAACAAACATACAGAAAACTCTGCCCAACAACAACAAAATGAACAGTTTTCTCAAGTGCTCATGGAACATACTTCAGGATAGAGCATATGTTGGACCACAGATTAAGTCTCAATAGACTTAAAAAGACAGATATCAGGCCAGGGGCAGTGGCTCACACCTATAATCCCAGCACTTTGGGAGGCCAACGCAGGCAGATCATGAGGTCAGGAGTTCGAGACCGTCCTGGCAAACATGGTGAAATCCCGTCTCTACTGAAAATACAAAAATTAGCTGGGTGTGGTGGCATGCACCTGTAATCCCAGCTACTTGGGAGGCTGAGGCAGGAGAATCGCTTGAACCCGAGAGGTGGAGGTTGTGATGAGCCGAGATGGGGCCACTGCACTACAGCCTGGGTGACAGAGAGTGAGACCCTGTGTTGGGGAAAGAAAAAAAAAAAAGATAGCTGTCATACATAGTATCTTCCCTGACCACAACAGGACAAAGTTAGAAATCAATAATAGAAGGAAAATTTAAAAATTGAGCAATACATTCTTAAACAACCACAGGTCAAAGAAGAAATCAAGGGAAATTAGAAGGTACTAGAGACCAGTGAAAATGAAAACAGCATACTAAAACTTCTGAGACACTTCGAAAGCAATCCTAAGGGGGACATTTATAGCTATATTACATTAAAAAGGAAGAAAGATTTCAAATCAACACCCTAACTTTACAACTTAAGAAATGAGAAAAAGAACTACATCCAAAGTTAGCAGAAGGAGGAAATAGTAAAGATTAGAGCAGAGATAAATAATGGAGAATAGAAAAACACAAGAAAATCAACAAACCCAAAAGTCAGTTCTTCAAGAAGACTAACAAAATTGACAATCCTTTAGTTTGACTAAGAAAAAAGGACAGAAGAAGCAAGTTACTAAAATCAAAATTAAAGTGGGGACATGACTATCAATTCTAGAGAAATAAAAAGGGTTATAAGACTGCACTATGAACAACCGTATGCCAACAAACTGGACAACCTAGATAAAATGGGCAAATTCCTAGAGACACAAAATATTGAATTGCAAAGAAACACAAAATCTGAATAGATCCATAATTAAGGGGACTGAATGGGTAATCAAAAACCTCCTGACCAAAAACAAACAGCCCTGAACCTGTTGGCTTCACTGGTGAATTCTACCAAACCTTTAATGGAGGACACCCATCGTCTTCAAACTCTTTTTAAAAATTGAAGAGAACACTTCCAAACCCAAGTGATGAGGCCAGCCAGCATCATGCTGACACAAAAATCCTAACTCAATATCTGAGAATAACAGCAGAAGTTTTTTTAAAAGTGGAATACATTTACTTATGGTGTCATCAGACGGATATTAAAATTCCAAGGTATCTATTCATGTTCTCTCAGGTGACCACCCAGATATTTGTATTTTTGCCTCAGTTTGGTAAATGGCATGGTTTTTAGTTTTTATAATACAATTTTTTTTTCCCAGCAAAGTCCTTCCCCAACAATGATGCTCACCAAGGCCATGACACCTGCCACACTCTTCTGCACATAAAATGCCCTCAATACCCATGGAACTGGGTTGAACCAGGAACAAAACAAGCAGCAGAGGTTGGTTTGTAAAAAGACAGTAAGTAGGTACCACAGATAAGACTGAAAGCCGAGGCTGGGCGCGGTGGCTCAAGCCTGTAATCCCAGCACTTTGGGAGGCCGAGACGGGCGGATCACGAGGTCAGGAGATGGAGACCATCCTGGCTAACACGGTGAAACCCCATCTCTACTAAAAAATACAAAAAAAAAAAAAACTAGCCGGGCGAGGTGGCGGGTGCCTGTAGTCCCAGCTACTCGGGAGGCTGAGGCAGGAGAATGGCGTGAACCCGGGAGGCGGAGCTTGCAGTGAGCTGAGATCCGGCCACTGCACTACAGCCTGGGCGACAGAGTGAGACTCCGTCTCAAAAAAAAAAAAAAAAAGACTGAAAGCCTACAATTCAGCAGTGAACATTTTACATTTATTTGAGAAATTATTTGCAACTAGTTCATCAAAAGATGCTGGTTTAAAGCAGTGGCTTTTCAGCCTTGACCACACAATATAACCACATAGAGAGCTTTAAACAACACCGTTGCCTGGGTCCCACTCCAGGGAATCCAACTTAATAGGTCTGTTGTAACTTGGGTTTTGGGAATTTTAAAAGCTCCCCAGGTGATTTTAATGTGCAGCCATGGATGTGGACCACTGGTTCAGAGTGAGGGATGCATTAGCTGTGTGTGATTTCCATGTGTGCCCCATGGCAGTTCCTCAGTTTGGGGTCTTGGAAACAGCTTTGCCCTGTGAAAATCAAAGGACTGCTTCAATACACAGTCAGCTGTTTGTCTAAATTGCAGCAGGTGGAAATGTCTTCTCAGCAGATCTATCTTTATGTTGCTTGCTTTTCAGAGTAAGAGGTTGTTTCAGGCACCGTTTGATTTAGCTTGCTTTGAAAATCATAAATAGCCTACAAATACTAAAAATGGACGAAAAGAATTTGCAAACATATGGAGTGCACTATATGTGTTTTCAAATTTCCCCTATAATTAGAAATAAAAAATATGAGCCTTGATTTCTAAACTCAGCCCTCAGCTGTTTCCCTAAGTTATTTTAAGTTCTTCCAAGACAGTTCAGCTTTCTCTGGAGGGAATTATACCCAATGGGTATAAGTGAAGAGCCCTAGATGGGCATTTACAGAAGTGTCACTCTCCAGAATCTTGAAGGAATAGGGGAGATGTATGAGTACTGTGGTCTATAGAGGTGTCTGGGCTTTGGAGTCAAGTATAGTAGATACTACTGAGTTACAACCTAGTCAGTAACTTCAAGGTTTTGAATTTGATTTGGAACAATTAGGTAAACCTCATCTGCAAGAAAAGGCATAATGATACTGATTGAAAAAATAAGAACAATTCTTCATACTTCCCTATCTACGACCTTTGCAATGAGATTTTATAGCTGCTCCCATAAACAGACAGAATTTGTTTCCCCAAGTCTTGTGTCTGGGCTGGCCTTATTTACTCTGACCAGCAGAATGCAGAGAGTATGACAGTGTGCTAGTTTCAGGGTTAGGCTCAAAAGATCTTGAATGCTTCTGCTTTTTCTTTCAGAATGCTTTCATCTCCATGAGAACAAGCCCATGTTAGCCTGCTGGAGGAAGGGATACCATAAGCAGGAGAACCAAGGTACCCCAGTTGACAGCCAGCTCACCCCCAGAAGCAGAGCAAAACACACACACACTACACACACCACACACATGGAGCTGAGCTGAGACCAGAGGAATGGCCTAGCTGAGCCCAGCCTAAATTGCTAACCAGCTCAATTATAAGCTAATTAAGTTTTGGGATGGTTTGTTATGCAGCAATAGCTAACTCATACACACACCCATTGCAGATGGGACTCAATGACATGTTGATTACAAGTTACTGGTAAACAGCAGGCCGCCTCTACATTCTGATTTCCTTTTCCCCCTATTAAAGTTGGATCTCTTGGGTTGTACAGAAATGCATATAGATATGTGTGTATGCGACTGGTGCTTCAACTCACACATTTCCCCACTCCAAAGAGGAAACAGACAATCATAGCCTGGCACTCAGGCCCCAAGGCCAAACTGCAAAGTAAGAAATTTGCTTTCCCAGATGCAGTGGCTCGTGCCTCTAATCCCAGCACTTTTGGAGGCTGAGGTGGATGATCACTTGAGTCCAGGAGTTCAAGACCAGCCTGGGAAACATAGAGAGACCCAATCTCTACAAAAAATACAAAAATTAGCTGGGTGTGGTGGCACACACCTGTAGTCCCAGATACTCAGGAGGCTAAGGTGGGAAGATCACTTGAACCTGGGAAGCAGAGGTCGCAGTGAACTGAGACTGCACTCCATCCTGAGCTATAGAGTGAGACCCCATCTCCAAAACAGTAACAACAGTGACAGTTTGTTTTTAGTCTATTCCTCCCATATCTAAGGTCTGCAGGTCAAAGCTGTGAATAGATCAGAAGGCATGAGATTTCCCTCTCCTGGGACCCCATCGTCCTTTGATCACTTCCATTTTTCACATATTCTCTTCTTCCGATGTGATTAGGGAATGAGGCCAAGATTAAATTTGAAGCTCTCAGAGACCACAAGATTTTTCTTTCCAAGGTTTACCAGCACTTTAGTTTCTAACATCGCAAATACTAACTGCAACCCAGTGTGGTGACTCACACCTGTAATCCCAGCACTCTGGGAGGCCAAAGTGGGTGGACTGCCTTCTCTAGTTTGAGAAGCATGTAGTAACATACTTGATTTTGCCCTGAATCAGTAACGTACCGCATGCTGGGAGCCGCAGTCTCTTAACCGCACCAAGCCCGTGACAGAAAAACTAAATGGAAAAATGACTTAGGAGAATTATCACTATAACCCCCAGAAACACCACATCGTTAAAAGCGGTTCTGAAGGCTACTGAAAAGGGAAATCAATAGTAGTTTCAAAGGAGTCCTATTGTAAGGCAAAAATTGTGCTTTACCGTCCCGCACAAACCTCCCTGATGTTTTGGGAAGGGCGGAGGCAAACCTTTAGTCCTGTTGGCCTGTGTTAATAATGGCCAAGAGGTCCCCAGTGGGTAACAGAGTCCTGTGAAGCAAACAGCGTGAGAAGTCAGAAAAGCAGCTGGGTGTGGACCCCCAAAGCACCTTAGGGGGTTACTTAACTGTGCGGCTACATTTCTTGACCACACACTAAAGGAACTGGGCCTTTCCATGCGATGTTTTCCTTTCATATGGGTGGCAGGAAGCGGTCCCTCTGAAGGACCTGACCGAGGTATGTGCCGGCGCCAGGCCGGGGTCCCAGGGGCGCTCCGAGGCGGGGCCCATAGAGGGTTTAGCGCAATTCCGAGGGATGGCGAGGACGGAGGAAAGGTGGCGTTGAAAAGGCAAGAGCCAGGTTCCCAGCGACTGGATATTTCCACTTGAGGCAGTGAATTTACATTTTCAGACATCCACCAGGGAGCTGCCTGCTGCGTGGGGTGTAAGAACGTCTCAGCCGCCCGGCGCCGCCAGCCCTACTCCACCGCCACCAGGGGCGCACAGCGGCGGGTACGCGGCCGGAGGGAAGGGGCGGGGCGGGGCGGGGAAGGGGCGGGGCGGGGCGGGGAAGGGGCGGGGCCTGCCCTGCCAGCGAAGGCCGGGAGGACCAGGAACCCAGGAGCGCATGGCCACGCTGCGCCGGCTTCGGGAGGCGCCGCGGCACTTACTGGTTTGCGAGAAATCCAACTTCGGCAACCACAAGTCGCGCCACCGGCATCTTGTGCAGACGCACTACTATAACTACAGGGTGAGTCCGGTTGTCCTCGGCTTTTCGGGCCGTGCTCAATCGCTGCGTGCGAGAGAGGTTTAGGGAGAGTGCTAGGCTTCGCGGGGCGGGGCCGCCGGCGGTGCGCGGAGGGGCGGGGGCCCTCGCCTGGCTTGCTGGAAGTTGTAGTCTCTTAACTACTGTAGGCCAGTGGTCTGCAGGGCTGCAGGACTACAACTCCCAGGATAGGTAGGGCGTGGGGGCGGCACCCAGTGTGGAGGGAGCTGTGTCCAGGGCGTTCTGGCTGCTCACTCGGGTCAACCCGCCTAACTGGGAGGGGGTCCAGGGAGGGATTCGAGGTTTAGGGCCGGGACCGGAGAGTTACGACGGTGTGACGGCTGCGATGTGTAGCTGCCGGGCAGCCACGTGCACCTCGCTTTTTCCCCAAATCAGGGCGGGTCTCGCGCCTCGTCCCCACCACCGCCTCTCTCCCCAGCTTGGATCTCTCTCCCACCTGCACCACCTGCGTACCTGTGGATTTCTCCGGAGCATTCTGCCTAGGCTCGGCCCAGGAAGCTACCTGATTTTCTAAATTGGTTGTGGGAACTAATGTGATATCTAGAAACTTCAAGAAACCAACCTTATAATGGGGGATTAAACATTTTACACTTTAAATGGTTCAGCTTAATAACTCAGGTTTGACTGAGCAGTGTCTCAGAGATTTAAGTGGTGACCTGATCAGTCAGGACAGGCTAGTGTTTGAGCCTTGGGACAGTGATGACTTTTACAGTGTGGCAACATTTGAAGCCTGTCCTGTTTTTAACACCTATTTTGGATGGAAAGCTCGTCACAGCAGCCAGGGATGTATACCTTAACTCGCCTGTTGCACTTTTCTCTCTCGAAATTGGAAACATACAGGAGCGCCATTGCTTGCACACAGCTTCTTAGTAATTGGATATCCATAAATTAATTCCTTATGCCCCGACAGACAGTTCATTTCCTTCCAGGATAACACCAGGGTAAACAAATCAAGGGATATTCAATTATACTGTATTTCCTTGAAAATGGTGAAAGGAATAGGACATGAAATATACAGTATTGCTAATTTGCAAAAGATAAAATGCAAGCAAGAGTTTTCCATTAAAAGTATTCTATTCAGTCCCCTTCCTGTACTGTACGTTTGAATGCAGAAATGAAAAACTTGAGTAGTCAGATTTCTCTTTGCCTGAGATAGGTAAGTTAACGTGAGAGTTTTGTTGCCTGTGTTTTTATATTCCGGTGAAACTCGTGGAGAAATAACAACTTTCATGATCTTATTTCATTCCTAAAAACCTGGGTGTTCATCTTCATGGAAGTAAGACCTTGTTTGTATTACACATTCCAATAGGTTTCATTTCTCATTCCTGAATGTGGGATACTATCGGAAGAACTGAAAAATCTGGTCATGCAAACTGGACCCTATTACTTTGTGAAGAATTTACCTCTTCATGAATTAATTACACCCGAATTCATCAGTACCTTTATAAAGAAAGGTAAGAAAAACCTGAAATGGCTTTAAACAAGGCAAGATGAGGAAGTGTAGGTAGACCACATCACAATGCTGGGGCTGTTATTTTGTTTTGAACAGGGCCTGTGGGATAGTCTGTGTGGTCAGGTGCACACATGCACTACCCCCCGCCCCCCGTTCTCATCCTGTTCTTTCTTGTGCCCTCTTTAGGTGGTGGTTTCTGATTGCAATTGCCCACAAGTGTTGGATGGGGACGTTGTAACATGAGGGTATCCGTCCCCTTAAAATGAGGATTGATGGAGAGGACAGACTTGCAGTCTGTGTTCAGATGCACTGCTTTCGAGGAAGTGGCTGCAAAGACCCTGTGCTGTGAGCAGCCCCACAGCAGCTGCCTCAGAGGGTTGGTCTCCAGATGCAGCCACAGCTACTGTTCACAGAGCAGAGTGCTCGTTGGGGTCCAGTGTCCTCTGCTTAGATTTTGTAGCCATAACCCCTCTCTGCGCACCCCATTTCCACCCACATCTGCTGGGTTGGACTGGTTTGTTTCAGTTGTTTCCTGGGAGCCGTTTGTTTGAAACTATTTCAGAGGGTATTTAGGGATTCCACCCACATACGTGAGTCACCTGTACAGTGGCCACATGCTTATCTTGTGCTAGCCCCCACATGTGTCCTCTCCAGTGAAGATACGAAGAATTCTAGTTACCAGTAGCTGCTCTCATTCTGACACTGCTGGGGCTACTTACGAGCTGGGCGTCTTGTCAGGTTTCATCACCATTATTCCTTTCATCTATTTTGAGGTCTGACACCACTCTGTCAATTACATGGACACTGGCTGTAGCAGGCACTGTTCAATATCTTACCAAATTTAACCCTTGCAACAATGTTATGAAGCAGGCCTATGATCCTCATTTAACAGGTGAGGAAACTGAGGCTTGGAGAGGTTGAGTAGCTTTTGAATCTTAACCCGGAACTCTGCCTCTAAGATGTGTATGTTTATCTACAATTCTACTTTGTACCCCTCTCCATGCATCCCCAAAGGTCACATTCCATTCTGAGTCAATTTTTTGCTTGATGATAGTACACTTGCACAAATAAGCCCTTGGTCGGGGAGTGAACTAGCTGGAGCTTGGTCTTCTGCATACTCCAGCTTACCTTTAGCAGATGTTTGGTTTATTGAATGAACTGGAGCAGTGGTAGAAACTGACCTTTAATTACCTGGAAGACAGGTTATCTTGTGAAAATAATCCACTAACATCTTGCAGGTGTAATTTCTTCTTTTAAATTTTTCCTCTGGACTTTCTCTTACAGGTTCTTGCTATGCACTAACATGCAATACAAATATTGATGAAGATAATACAGTTGCCCTGCTACCAAATGGTAACGCTTATTTTTTCATCTTTCTTTAATTGTTAAAAAAAAAATGCCTACTGTAAAAAAAAAAAAAAAAAAAAGCCAGGCACGGTGGCTCACGCCTATAATCCCTGCACTTTGGGATGCCAAAGCAGATGGATCACCTGAGGTCAGGAGTTCAAGACCTGCTTGGCCAACATGGTGAAACCCTGCCTCTACTAAAAATACAAAAATTAGCCAGCGTAGTGGCGCATGCCTATAGTCCCAGCTTGGGAGGCTGAGGCAGGATAATCACTTGAACCCAGGAGGCGGAGGGTGCAGTGAGCCAAGATCGTGCCACTGCACTCCAGCCTGGGTGACAGAGTGAGACTCTGTCTAAAAAAAAAAGAAGAAGATATTCAAAAGAATGAGTATACCATGACTTATTTATTTCATCTTTAGTAGAAATTCAGATTATTTCTAATTTCATTATTATGAATAATATCCTTGGATGTATAATGTATAAATAATATCTGTGTTATAAGACATGTATACATATAAATATTCTTGTCATATAAATAAGATCCTTGTATGCAGTTTGGTACATCAATATCTAACTGCTCAATTTGCTTTGCTTTCTTTTAGTCAGACAGCATAAGTTCTATTTTTGGTATCTTACGCAAGTTATTATTTGATTTGTAGGGAAATTAATTTTGTCACTGGATAAAGACACTTATGAAGAAACTGGACTTCAGGGTCATCCATCTCAGTTTTCTGGTAGAAAAATTATGAAATTTAGTAAGTATCATGTGTGCTCCATCTGTTTCTAAGAAGTCTGTAATCTTCTTGTGGTAATTTAAATTTAAATGTTTGAATTGCCTCTAATCTCTTTGTTCAGAAAAATGTGGCTTTTTAAAAAAATCTACCAAACTTCTGACTTAAGCTTCATAGAGGATAGGATGATGCTTTTAAGTTCATTTCTTTTCAGCTGTAGATGCGTTTGATAAAGATCGTAGACTTGGACTGGTCAATTAAATATATATGTTTTGGGTTAAACATTCAAAGTAATTTGGGAAGCCTAGGCAGGCGGATCATGAGGGCAAGAGATTGAGACCATCCTGGCCAACATGGAGAAACCCTGTCTCTGCTAAAAATACAAAAATTAGCCGGGCGTCGTGGCAGGCGCCTGTACTCCCAGCTACTCGGGAGGCTGAGGCAGGAGAATCGCTTGAACCCAGGAGGAGGAGGTTGCAGTGAGCCAAGATCACAATCAGTGCACTTCAGCCTGGTGACAGAGTGAGACTCCATCTCAAAAAAAAAAAAATTCGAAGTACTGAACCCAAGATAGGAGTCTGCTTATTATAATGAAGAATTTCCTTTGGCTTCCCCAGGTCTTTATGATTACTAGTAGAAATTCACCCAGGAGTGAAGAGATCTTTTGCTGACAGTGTCTGGCTCGAACATCAATAGCTAAGGCTGCCACATCCATTAGTAGATGAAACCTGACCTCTCAAGGTCCTCTGCCCTTGGTCTTTGACCTAGGAAATATATAAATTTAAAATGTCTGTTTCTGTTAGCTCTCAAGGTTAGAAGTGCCCACCAAAGGGATCTTTTTTATTTGGCAAACCAAAGGGAGTGGAAGAAGAATAAAATAATTTTACTATCCATAAAATTTCCCAAAATTCTGGTTTTTAAAAATACAACACTTTTTCCATAGTATAAGCTGTATGTATATGAATGAAATATATATTCTTTTTTTCATTTTTAAAGTTGTTTCAATTGATTTGATGGAATTATCCTTAAACTTGGATTCTAAGAAGTATGAAAGAGTATCTTGGTCCTTCAAAGAAAAGAAACCATTGAAATTTGATTTTCTTTTGGCTTGGCATAATACAGGTATGAAGAAACAATTATGTAATCATACAGTGATTTTGAAATTAATTGTTAATTAAAGAGGAGTAATGGAGGATTGAATGGTGATTCACTCTTATAGTCAAGGAATATTGTATATATATATAAAAATAGTATTAAGGAAATTAGCCCTTCTGACATCTCTGCAAACCATTGTTCAGGATTGTCGAGGCATGCAGGCCTTTCTGCCTGAGTCTTTTGGGGTTATACATAAATCCAGAGATCTTGAGAGTGGCTTTAGAGTAGCTAAATTTTATCTATTTCTCCCCTTTCCTCTCTCCAGCTTACCTTGAACAGTCTTGACTATAATGTTTTTATAGTTATATACACAATCTGCTTATTTATTATCACAGGGCACTAACTCAGACCTACCATTAAATGTCAGATTAATTTGTAATAACTTTTAATTGATTAGGACACTAAATTTAGTTCGAAGTTTGCTATTCACCACACAGTGTCATCTGCCGAAAACGGCCATGTATGTTGCTGCTTTCAGAAGTATATCTTTGGCCAAGATCATAATGGATCAAGTCATCAGGAATTAGGGTGTAGTACTCTCTTTTGGAGGATAGGAAGCATGGTGGTCTGTTTTAGAAATAGACCCATCTGTCTGCTCCTCGTGGGAGGTGTCTGGTCACTGGGTGCTCCAAGTTGCTCCCGTGAGCCCTAGGTCTGGCCTTCGGTGCCTCTCCTATGGTATAGAAAAGAGAGCAGAAAGGCTTATTGAAGTTTCCGTTGCGTAAAGTCTTCTATGCGGATCATCCAGACATTGGGCTCCGAATAGCTCCCTGTTCCTAAAGCTCCTGCTTTAAGGATTTGTCAGGAACTGTGAAAGGTCTGAGATTTCCTCATACTTGCAGGCTAACAAGATAGCCTGCCACGTTCTCAGGGATGCTGGCAGAAGACACACGAGCCCTGGGTCAGAGACACAGGACTTAATCCTCAGAGGAATAGCCGTAGCCAGAATATATCAGTCAGGGTTCTCCAGAGAGAAGGGACCAATTGGTTGGATGGATGGATGGATGGATGGATGGATGGATGGATGGATGGATGATGGATGGATGGATGGATGGATGGATGGATGGATGATGGATGGATGGATGGATGGATGGATGGATGGATGGATGGATGGGTGGGTGGGTGGGTGGGTGGGTGGATGGATGGATGGATGGATGGATATTAGGGGAATTGATCACACAACTGTGGAGGCTGAGGAGTTCCATGACAGGCTGTCTGCAAGTGGGAGACCCAGGGATGCTGGTAGCATGGCTCAGTCCAAATATGAAGGCCTGAGAATCAGGAAAGAAGATGGTGTAATTCTCAGTCCAAGGCGGAAGCCTGACAACCTGTGAATCTGCTGGTGCAAGCCCCAGCGTCCAAAGGCTAGAGAACCTAAAGTTCTGCTATCCAAGGGCAGGGGAAGAAGGGAGTCCCAGCTGCAAGGGACAGCGCATTCACTTTTCTTCTGCCTTTTTGTTCTGTCTGATGCCCCAGCCGGGTAGATGGTGCGCCCACAGTGAGGGCAGATCTTCCCACTCAGTCTTCCCACTCACATGCCAGTCTCCCCCAGAAACACCCTCACAGACACACCTAGAAATAATGCTTTACCAGCCATCTAGATAACCCTTCATCCAGTCAGGTTGACACCTAAAATTAACCATCACACCGAATATCACCGTTTGCACCAGTTCACCAAGTCCCATTTGCCAGAGTGACACCAAGCGATGCTGGCACATGCAGTAGGTTGCATTACAGGAGAGGAACCTGGAGTTTAAGAACTCCAGTCCTTTGTAAGGGGCAGTAAGCCTGCTGATCTCTGCCTGGAGAGAGGGAGGGTGACATTATTTCTATTATACTGGACAGTAAACAAGCCTGCCCTTTGCTGTGGAGGGAGTACCATCTCTATCTTCCAAGGCCATTGGCTACACAAACATCCCTGAAAAGATACACTGGATTTTACTGGGTTTTCAGAGTCAAGTTTGGATGAGGTTCCATCACCATTCAGTTTCTCTTATTTTTCTTTAATAGAGATTGTGCAGATAAGCTGCTTCTCTCTGGAGTTCACAAATGTTATTCATACATGAGGAATGCTTTTGGTTTTAAGTGTGAAGTTGAAATTTTTTATTAGCACACACGGTGAAACTAGTTTGGGTCTGATCAGAAACTATTCTGCTTTTCCAGGAAAAGTGTGAAAAAAGATGAACATTTACAGAACTTGGGCAAAAGGAGCTGAAAGCAGCTTTAAATGATTTTAATTTGAATGCAGCGCTGCACAGCTTCCATCTTACTTAATCTTGCCACTCAAATGGGAATGGATGGGTTCCGGGATTCACTAAACTTGCTTACGATGGTCAAATGGATTCAAATGGCTTTGTATGGTGTGTTTTTAAGGTTCGGAAGAATCAACAATGATGTCATATTTTTCCAAGTACCAAATTCAGGAGCATCAGCCAAAAGTAGCGCTGAGTGCAGTGAGAGATCTCCAGTGCCCGGTGCTGCAGAGCAGTGAGCTCGAGGGAGCGCCGGAGGTGTCCTGCCAGGCTCTGGAGCTCTTCGACTGGCTTGGCGCCGTCTTCAGTAATGTCAGCCTGTGGGTATCTGGACTCCCTGTGTCTTCTAGGGCTCTGGCCTGCTGCTTGTTTTTAATACGAGTTTAAGACTTTGGAAGGGATCATGTGATGGATATCAATGTGTTATCTCTCTCTTTTTTTTTTGGTGACAGAAATAATGAGCCTAATAATTTCATATCAACCTATTGCTGTCCTCAGCCAAGCACGGTGGTGGCAAAAGCTTATTTGTGTACAATCACTGGCTTCATACTTCCAGAGAAGATCTGTCTCCTATTGGAACATCTCTGGTGAGAACTCTTTGCCTTTTATATTGCTCATCGTTGCTGTATAGAACAGTATGTAAAATAGTGTAGATTTTTCATTTTGGGAGGTAGTATATAAATAAAATGTACATTGAAAGGAAACTCAAATCCCCTATTGCAAAGACTGTACATTGAGTATAATCCTATTTAGTAAGCATATCTTCTGAATCTTCCCTTTTAAAATGTCAGATTTAAGTCTTGAAGGTTTTCCTTTTTAAGCCCAACATCCCTTTTCACATTTATTGGTTTAGTACTTTGATCTTCTTCAACCGGAAGGCTGGATATGAAAACTCTGGTGAATTATCCTTCAACGTTTCAGTTAACTGAGACTCTGAGAACAGTACTCTTAATAGGAGGGAAACTATCCTTAAACGCCTGTGGGGTTTTTTGTTTTGGGTTCTTTTCCTCTTAAAGACCTCCCAGAATGAGGGTGGGAACAGCTGAGGTTTGTTTTGTGTGTTGTATATTAGTTAACCCTTATGGAATTCACAGTGTGACATCAGGAATTGATCACACACTTCTTGATTTTCATAAATTAAAGCTAAGATCTAAGCTTTATTAGAGTATCAGAAATACTACTTATCCTGAATAAATTTTTTAAAAATCAGACATTCCTAACTCTCCCTGTTTAACAATTACCTTTTTTTCAGTCACTACTTTGATGAACTGAAGTTAGCTCCATGGGTTACATTGTCCGTTCAAGGCTTTGCAGACAGCCCTGTTTCTTGGGGAAAAAATGAACATGGTTTTTGGAAAGGAGGAGAACATTTATATAACTTTGTGATTTTTAATAATCAGGACTATTGGCTTCAGATGGCTGTTGGGGCGAATGATCACTGTCCACCATAAAAATTACAAAATTAAAAATCATGTTTGCCTACGTTTATGCTTGCTTTCAGATTTCTTAATGGTAAAAGGTCTGTGTGTGCCACTCAGGCTTGTGTGATGGTGACGTTTCTCAGATCAGCATTTGCTAGCATCCTGCGCTGCACCTGGGCCCCATCTGTGATGGCGGCAGGGCCTGCTGTCCAATGAATAGCTCATAGTTGATTTCTCTCTGTCAACATAAGCACAAGGTCGTGGTTACTACGTGGTAGACTGGGCCAGGATGTCCAAGGACCAGGGGGTACTGGTCCCCATCTCACCCCATTGGGTGAGATATATTTTGCTCATTACAACTTTTTCAGATAATAAAAAGAAATCTCATCCTTACCAGGGCCAGTCCCTGTTGTAAGTGCTGTTTATATGTTACCATGTTAGATTCTCACACCAACCCTTTGAGGAAGCTGAGGCACAGTGTGTAAATACGCTACTGAAGTTACAGTGCTAGTGGACCTGAGACTTGATCTCAGGCCAGCCTAGTTCCTAAGTGTGTTCTCACGCTAATGCCTCTGGATCAGAGAGGAATCAGTGGATACTGTCAATTGTTACAGAACAGGTTGAAAGAATTTTATTTCCAGCAGTAAGGCTGATAAGGACCAGTTGAAAACAACTAAAACTTTAGAATACATATGAAGAACCATTTTTTAAATGTAAAAAGTAAGAGCTGCAAAATAAGAGTTCTCAAAGACAAAAAGAATTTTGTGTGTGTGTGTGTGTGTGTAAATGGAAGCAGAAACCCAAAGAAGTAAGTGACGTACTGATGCCACTTTTCAGCCTTAGTGCATCTGCCAAATGTCAAATTGAATTTTTCTTCTCATAGCCTGGGGTGGGAAGGGGCTGCAGAACCGCACACAAAGCTCAGGGCCTGCCCAAGGGAGGAAAACTAAGAGGAGACCTCATAAAGTGAGACCCCAAAAGGATAGATGTAATGTAGGGGTGAACTAGGAATAAATCCATCTGCTTCACCCATACCCCCAACCCCTGGGAACAGCAAGGAAGATTTCTGTCCTGGGGGAAGACATCTTACTTGAGAGCCTATATACAACCACAGGCAGTTTTTAGGGTGGTTTGTTTGCTCAACCTGGGTAGTCTTAAATCTCAAGCTGCCCAGCACTTTGGGAGGCCGAGACGGGTGGATCACGAGGTCAGGAGATCGAGACCATCCTGGCTAATGCAGTGAAACCCCGTCTCTACTAAAAAATACAAAAAACTAGCCGGGCGCGGTGGTGGGTGCCTGTAGTCCCAGCTACTCGGGAGGCTGGGGCAGGAGAATGGCGTGAACCCGGGAGGCGGAGCTTGCAGTGAGCTGAGATCCGGCCACTGCACTCCAGCCCGGGTGACAGAGCGAGACTCCATCTCAAAAAAAAAAAAAAAAAATGTCAAGCTGGAAATTTCAAGTGATAACAGGATTTTAGTGCCTTACAGGTAACTGGCAGAAGCAAAACAGATTGTCTTTGGAGAAACTCGGAGAGTTTCAAGGAATATAAGTTCATAGGAAAAAAATCACAAACGTAAAATAGGCAAGAACCAGCAGAAACAAGGGGCAGAAGAAGGCCACTAAGTCTTAGAAAGACTTAAGATGTTAAGTTAGCAAGCACATCCATAAAGTGTGCTTTATACTTACAGAAATAAGGGGGGTTAAATGGCATGAGCATAAAAACAATGAAGCAGATTGTAAAAAGTGCCAAACAAATCTAGGAATGAAAAATATAATTGAAATTGCAAGTTCCACTGGTTGGTTTAACAGCAGACTAGATGCCACTGAAAATAGAATAATGGATATGAAGAAATTAAGATCTTTTCAAATTTGCAAAAGCTGAAAGACTGTCATCCATATATCTGCACTACAAGAAAAGTTAAAGGATGTCCTTTGGGCATAAGGAAAATGCCTGCCTTCTGAAGGAAATGAAGAACACTGAAAATAGTAAGAACATGGGTAAATGTAGGATTTATTATTTAAACCTCTTTAAAAGACAGTTGTTTAAATGAAAGTCATAGTGTGGGATTTATATGTGTAAAAGTAGAATGGATGACCACAATAGCTTAAAGACCAGGAGAGGAGAATCATTGCTATTGTAAAGTTCTTATGCACAAAGTGACATGCTACCATTTGAAGATAGAGTGCGATAAGTTACAGATGTGTGCTAAAGCAGCTGCTAAAATGACATACCAAAAAATCATACCTATTAAACTATCAAAAGATAAAATGGAATTATTTTTAAAACTTGATTCATCAAAAAGACAGAAAAAGAGGTAAAAGGGAATAAAGACCAGATAGGATGAATAGAAGACAAATAGCAAGATGAGAGACTCAACCTAACTGTATCAAAAATCACATTAAATGTGAATAGTGTAAACACCCCAATTAAAAGGCATAGATTTTCAGACTGGATTGAAAACACATGACCCAATTATATTCTGTCTACAAGAAATGTACTTTAAATAGAAAGATACAAATACTTAAAGGATGGGAAAAATATGCTAACACTAGTTACATGAAAATTAAAGTGGCTATATTAATCAAAATAGAGCAAAAAGTAATTCCCAGCATATTAGTCCATTCTCATACTGCCATAAAGAAATATCTGAGAGTGGGTAGCTTATAAACAAAAGAGGTTTAATTGGCTCATATTTCTTTTTTTTTTTTTTTTTTTTTTTTTTGAGATAGAACCTCCCTCTGTTGCCCAGGATGGACTGCAGTGACACAATCTCGGCTCACTGCAACCTCCACCTCCTGGGTTCAGGTGATTCTGCTGCCTCAGCCTCTTGAGTAGCTGGAATTACAGACATGCACCACCACGCCCGGCTAGTTTTTTTGTTTGTTTGTTCAATTTTTTTTTTTTTTTAGTAGAGACGGGGTTTCACCATATTGGCCAGGCTGGTCTCGAACTCCTGGATCCGCCCACCTCAGCGTCCCAAAGTGCTGGGATTACAAGCATGGGCCGCCGCACCCGGCCTAATTGGCTCACATTTCTGCAGGCTGTGCGGGAAGCACGGTGGGCATCCACTTGACTTCTGGGGAGGCCTCAGGAAAACTCAGTCATGGCGGAAAGTGAAAGAGAAGCATGGCCATAGCAGGAGGGAGGGGTCAGGGAAGTACCACACACTTTTAAACCACCAGATCTTGTCAGAATTCTATCATGAGAAGAGCACTAAATGGGGGAACCCACCCGCATAATCCAGTCACCCACCAGGCCCCACCTCCAACACTGGGGATTACGATTTGTCATGAGATTTAGGCAGCGACACAGACCCAAGCCATATCACCCAGGATCACAGGAAGTTATTTCATACTTATAACACACACCTCATAACAAAGCTTCAAAACACATGAAGCAAGAACAAGTAGAACTTCAAGGAGACATAGATCAATCCACTATTATCAGACATTAATACCCAACCCTCAATAATTGACAGAACAAGTAGGCAGGAAATCAACAAGAATAAAGTAGACTTAAACAATTCTATCAATCTACTTGACCCGACTGATATTTTTAGAACATTGTATCTTACAACCGCAGAAAATTTTTCTTGAGAAAATTGAGAAACAACTCAATTTTGTTTCTGAGAAATAACTTGAGAAAAATTTTTAGTTGTTTGAGTTAAAATAATAGTATCGGATTTATAATATATGTAAAAGGAAAAGTTTTTGTAAAAAGGAATGTAAAATGTAGAAGGATTAAGTTTTTCTCAAGTACATATTGGAACGTTTATAGAGATGGACTACATTATAGACCATTTAAAAAGTCTCAAATTCAAAAGATTTGTCACATGAAGTATATTGTCTGGCCATGGTGGAATTAAATTAGAAATCAATAGCAGAAACTAGAAAAGAGAAAAACCTAAAGTAAGCAGAAGGAAAGGAATAATAAAGGTAAAAGTGGGACTTAATGAAATTTTTAAAATAGAGAAAAATTAATGAATCAAAATTTGGGGAGTTTGGGGGGAAATATTTTTAAATTGAGAAATCTCCAGCCAGGTAGATATATCAGGGAAAAAAGAAACAAGACACAAGTTACCAATATAAGCAATGAGACAGGTGACATCACTGAAGAGCCTACAGATAGAAAGGATAGTGAGGAAATATTAGGAACACCTTTATAGCAATAAATTCAACATGGATTAAATTGACACATCCTTTGAAAGGCACAGATTACCAAAGCTCACCCAAGAAGAAATAGATTACCTGAATAGCTCTATGTCTGTTCAAGAAGTTGAAATTACAGTTTAAAAACCTGTAACGAAAATCTCACCTGTATTCCCAGCATGTTGGGAAGTTGAGATGGGAGGATCACTTGAAGCCAGGAGTTCAAGGACAGGCTGGACAACATAGTGAGATTCTGAAGAAAAAAGAAAAAAACTAAAAAAATTAGCCAGGCGTGGTAGCACATGCCTGTAGTCCTAGCTACTTGAGAGGCTGAGGCAGGATGATTGCTTGAGCCTAGGAATTGAAGGCTGCAGTGATCTATGATCACACCACTGCACTCTAGCCTCGCTGACAAATCAAGGCCCTGACTCAAGAAAGGGAGAGAAGGAGAGAGAGAGAGGAAGAAATACTTTCTACCTCATTATCTGAGGCCAGAATTATCCTAGTACCAAAATTATCCTAGGACCCTGGTCAAACAACATGCTACAAAGGAAAGAAAACTACAGACCAACATTTCTCATGAGCATAGGGTAAAATTCTAAGCCAATTTATCAAATTGAATCCTACAAGATAAGAAACAGGTAACACAGCATGATCAAGAGGGAATATCCAAGGAGTATAGGGTTGACTTAACATTTGAAAAATCAATCAATATAATTCATTGTATAAACAAACTCAAAAAGAATAATCGTATAATCAATACAGAAAGGCATTTGACAAAATCCAGCTTTTGCAAAATTCCATTGCAAAATTCAATGGACGTACAAATGAGCTACTAGAACAAATAAGTGAGTCTGTCAAGGTTGCAGGATAAAAAGTAGTGTACAAAAATCAGTTGTATATGGTAGCAATGAAAA